AAGAAGGGGGGGGGGTGAACCCTCGGTTCCCCTGCTGCTAATTATTTATACAGCTTGAACCATCAGAAAGCACCAATAATATACTCAGCGGCCACCCACTAGGAAGCCATAGGAAAGCTAAAGGTTACCGGATTCCAGCTTCTCTCTACAGAGAAGGAAGGGCTCCTTCAGGGACGGGGCGGAAATGCAGACGAGGCACGCGGCACGATGGAAGGAGACTTATCAATGGGAGAGATTTGTGAGCCCTCCTGCCTGCAACTGCCGAAACTAGGATACATCCAGAGGTCATTTTGGGGGGAATTGCAGGGGATCGCAGTTCCCCCGGGTGAGGTACGGGGGGCGGGGCACATGACGAAGCCCCGCCCCCTGCTTCCGGCCGCCCCACTTCCGACCCTCATTGAGCCAGGAGGAGGCAGGAGAAGAGGGAGGGTAAGTTGCTTCCTCCCTGCCTCTCCCCACCCCTGCCTGCCTGGGGCCAGGGAGGGCCTTCGCGGGGCTTCCTTGCACTCCCGCCGGCCTTGCAGGTCCACCGCCGGGCCCCTCATGTGGCTCGACAGTGGAGCTGCAAGGCCGGCGGTGACGGCCGGGACTGTTGGGGGCGGGGGGTGTGGCCTTATGACACACTTCCGGTGATGTCAGGGGGTGTGGCATATGCTAATGAGTTATGCTAATGAGTTCCCCTAGCTCTTTTTCTACGAAACGACCCCTGGATACATCACACAAAGGAGTATAAACTCTAATACGAATGAGTGAGAAAATGGTGCAAATGTATGCAAACCTGTCAAATTCAGCTTTCCTTGGTGCAGAATTCTGGGTTCCCCCCCCCCACACACACCAATTGTCACTTGCTGGAAATTCAAAGTTCTGCTACAATCTTTCCATTGTGTTGCCCAGGAGCCCCCCCCCCCCACCCTGGGTTGTGAAATACCTAGAGATTTGGTGGTGGAGCCTGAGAAGGGCGGGGCTTGTGGAGGGAATGGATGTCAGCAGGGTATAATGCCATCAAGTCCCCCTTCCAATGTGGCCATTTTCTCCAGGTAGGGTTGCCAGCCCACAGGTGGGAGTGGGGGATCCCCTGATGTCACGGGCTTCAGCCCGCCGCCAGCCAGCTGGCCAATGGGGGAAGCCCTGCCCCCAACAGCCATGGCCACACGCAACATCCCCAGCATGATGACATCACACGGAAGTGATGTCATCATGTCGGGGATGTGACATAGTGACACTCTGGTATTTTGGACAAAACTCTATGGTAACCATAGATTTCTGCCTAAAATACCAGAGCATTGCTGTGCAACGTCCCCGGTGTGAAGACATCACTTTTGCATGACATCGTCACGCTGGGGACATTGTGTGCTGTGACATTGCCCCTTCCCTCTCCCGGGAAGCTCCCTCCCACCCCCCATCAGCAGAAGAAAAGGACCTGGCAACCCTATCTCCAGACGAATTGATCTCTGTCAGCTGGAGATCAATTGTAATCCCAGGAGATCTCCAGCCACCACCTAGAGCAGTGGTGGCAAACCTATGGCACGGGTGCCAGAGGTGGCACTCAGAGCCCTCTCTGTGGGCACGCGTGCCATCGCCCCAGTCAGGCCCAGACCATCATTAAAGTGTTGAATTCTCTGCCAAATAATTTTAAATAAATGAAAGCAGGGGTCATTTCGTAGAAAAAGAGCTAGGGGAACTCATTAGCATAACTCATTAGCATATGCCACACCCCCTGACATCAGGGGCCTGGCGGTGGACCTGCAAGACCGGCGGGAGTGCAAGGAAGCCCCGCAAAGGCCCTCCCTGGCCCCAGGCAGGCAGGGGTGGGGAGAGGCAGGGAGGAAGCAACTTACCCTCCCTCTTCTCCTGCCTCCTCCTGGCTAAATGAGGGCCGGAAGCGGGGTGGCCGGAAGCAGGGGGCGGGGCTTCGTCATGTGCCCCTCATTTGGGATTGCTTTCCTTACTTTGTTTGGATCATCTTAAATTAATGTATGAGTTGTTTTTTCTAAAGTAAAACCTCAGTATTCAGGTTAAATCGCCGAGTTGGCACTTTGCGATAAATAAGGGGGTTTTGGATCGCAGTTTGGGCACTCGGTCTCTAAAAGGTTCGCTGTCACTGACCTAGAGGTTAGCAACCATAACACAGAGAGAGAGAAGTCAGCTAGGAGCCTCTCCACTTTGTAGTCCTGTGCCCCTAACATGCCAGACAAGGGAAAAACAGCCAATAGGGTGATGGTAGAAAGTTCTGTCGAGTCACCACCGACTCACAGTGACCCCTCATGGGGTTTTCGAGGCAAGAGATGAACAGAGGAGGTTCGCCATTGTCTACCTCTGCATAGCAGTCCTGGACATTCTTGATGCTCTCCCATCCAAATACCAACCCCCAGGGCCGACCCTGCTCAGCTTCCAAGATCTGACAAGCTCCTGCTAGCCAGAGCCATCCAGGTCATGGTATCCACTAGGGTACCGCCCATTTTCAGAATAAATTCTTTGCCATTAAAAAGAGCACAAAATCAGCCATATATACAGGGGAAATAAAATGCCAACCCAGACCAGGAGAGCCTCACAGTACTTACTATCGAGAGCCTGTTTTGGATGCCTGGTAACTCCACTCTACAAATTCTGCACTCCCCTCTCTAGAAAGTTAAACTAACCACCCAAAATGAAAGCAGGCATCTAGAGCCACCCCAGATAAGCAGCGCATTGATCATGCCAACCCAACAACTGTGCAAGCTAGTCTTTTTTCTTTATAGTTTTAAATTAATCAAGTCCTCCACTCGCCACCTAGCCAGCCTCTGGTAGCTCTCCCCAAAGATTGGATTTTTCTAGCCCAAATTCAAACTCCAACGAGTCCACACAACCAACAATATGAACAGGGCTCTGTCACCCAGCAGTCGGGCATCCTTTCAAACTAGGCATGGATCAAGTCTCTCTCAGGGACCACCTTTCTCCCCATAATCTTCCAAAACTCCTAGTATCATGACATACAGGCAAAGTATAGTTTACCTCCTACCTTCTATTCCCCCTACAGTTGCTGGGAGCCTTCCTAGAACCATCAGGGATCTTTGGCAAGTGGAGCACGAGGAAAGAAGATATTGACATGCCATCGTCACATCTGCCTAAAATCTGGAAGTGACGTCACCAACTCTCTAGAGACAGGTGGAATCCTAGAGCATTAGTGACATCACTTCTAGGTTTTATCCAGAAGTGACCTCAACAACATCTTCTCCTCACCACCCATCTGAGTAGCAGCAGGGGCCGGGAGGCAGCGGGGGTGAGATTGCAATCCATCGTGGGCACACAGCAATTACCCCTACCCAGTATCTTTAAACAGGCCTAGATTGTGTACTCTGGCTGGGCATGATATTCCGTTGGACCAACTGCTTAGTTTTGAACTTGCTTTTCTTTTATGCTGTCCTTTTAATTCCAATTTGTTTTTTTAAAATGATTTTTAGTTTCCCGTGATCACATTTGACCCATGTATGCATTAATTTAAAGGTCTAAAGGTCCCCCCCAAAGGGACATGCTATTAGGAGCATGTGAGAAAGCCCATGCACCAGGAGGCGTTCATGTAGCAATGGCTACAAGACGGAGCATGCTGGTGGAGCTCATTCCACAGGCCCAACAGTAAAATCCATTCCCGAGCCTTCTCAATGGGATCAAACACTCCCTTCGACTGAACTCCCTCAAAAGGGGCCATGCTCCAGGATGCCTCCTCCCGTCGGCTTGGCGCTTGATGTGGAAGCTCCGAGACGCTTCTATCAAAAGAGACCCGGGAACTCCCTCTTTGTCTGCCCCATCACTCCTGTTAAGGGAAGGCAGCTCTCTTGCAGCATTATCCCCTTGAAGCTCTGTGCCAGAAGCCCTTGATGGCTGCAATGACTTTGACATACTTACACCATCTGTCTTCTTTCCTCCAGAAATGTGATAGCCGTGTTCTGTTTGAGTCTCTTCCCTTACAGTGCCTGACAGTTCTTTTTATTTGGGCACTGCATTCCCCCCAAAAGAAGATAATTCCGCTGTCAAGGCCACTAAGGTGCCACCGAGGCTTTGCCTTACATATTTAGAAACCGCTCCGTTCCTTTGGAACTTGGAACCCAGTAGTAGACAGGAAAGACACCACCGTCACAGACTGGATTTCCCCCCCATTTGCCACAACCCACTTTCAAAGGCTTCACAATGCACTTTTGGGTCCCGACTCCCGACCCACAGGTTGGGAAACACTGCGGTAAAACGCACACAGCCACAGCTTCCAGAGTACAGATAAGTTCCCAGCTGCCACTGGGAGGCTCCCAAATCAAAGATTAGTTTGTAAAGGAGGAAAACAACAGCAACAAAACCCTTATACTATACAACCCATATGACTCAGCTTAATCTTTGGCAGAGTGTTTCAACTACCCTGGGTTTCCATGTAAAACTGCCCCAGTTTCACCTGTGTGTAGTCACATCCAGGTATCACCGATCATGCAGGGGCTACATTTTTACCTTAGCGATGTGGGTAATGCGCGAACGAGCAAATAACTGAATGCCTGAGATCTCACTTTAAATGCAGCCATAATCATCAGCCCTCAGATTCCCGGGTCCGGCAAATAAATGTTATTAGTGCCATTAGAACAGCTTAAGGCCGATTCTACAAACTGCCGTGCAGGAATGACATTAGAAACCATGACATTATACTGAAATACATAAACATCGCTGAAGTATGGACCTGCCAAGGCAAATGCTTAGAATTGGGCCACCAGTGACACGGCCCAGCTCTTTCAATCAAACTGTGCAGGCACAAGTTGTGCAGGCTCATTTGTTCCTTCCACCTATGGCTGTGGACATCACGCCTGGCCTGAGAGCAGAGTATGTGAAATGATACCCAGAGGCCCAAGTTTTAACCGCAAGCTCTTGCGCAACAGGGCATTAAGTGGAAGTGGTTGGATTCATAACTCCCTGAGCACCTATTCAAAGGCAGGAGCCCTTCAACATGAAATATCCTAATTTCCTCAGCCACCACCGGAACGCCTTACCTTGAACGATGAGATGGACTCGCGATGTCTTTGGATGATTGTCGGTTTGTACGGAGCAGGTGTAAGGGCCTTCGTCATATATGTCCACATTAAAGATCTTAATGCTGTACTCGGTTTTGGTGTTGGAGACGATGACCACCCGGTCATCTATTGACCACTTATCATTCCCAGCATAAAGGATAGTGCTACGGTTCAGCCAAGCTACTCGCGTGACCCTGTTGTCCACGGTACATCTGAAAAAGGAGAAAGAGCACAGAGTGAGCAGGTGGTGCCGCTGTGGTTCTAGCGATAATTTCCTCCAGAAGAAATCAATGTATCCTGAGTTGGACCTTCAGGTAACAGGCTAACTTAAGAATTAATTAATTATCGTATGGCATTGTGTGTAGTATAGCCAGGAGATCCTAAGATTGTCCGGCAGACAGAAGTTCTAGCTCTTTTACCATTATGCACCACTAGGTGGTGAGCTAGACTTTGGGGGGAGGGTTAGGCAAGAGATGTTTCAGGGGTGGTTTGCCATTGCCTGCCTCTGCATTATGACCCTGGTGTTCCTTGGAGGTCACCCTTCCAAATACTAGCCAAGGCTGACCCTGCTTAGCTTCCGAGATCTGATGAGATCAAGCTAGCCTGGGCAATCCAGGTCAGGGCTGCTAACTTAAAAGTAGTTATCAAACTCCAAACCTGGAAAAGATGGCTTCGAATGAGCCCACCCACCACATGAGGCATTTTACTCTCATATAGGTATCCATGGAGGACCCTCAGCAATGATACAACTCATGTTTTTAAGCCCAAGCCTTCTGCTTCACGTGAGCAATGGGGCTCTGGCAGTCAAGAGCTTCCTCTGTCTTCCCCACACTATAAGACATCAAAAAACTTATTGCTCATTGGCCCTGACCTGGATAGCCCAGGCAAGCCTGATCTCGTCAGATCTCAGAAGTTAAACAGGGTCAACTCTGGCAAGTACTTGGATGGGAGACCTCCTTGGAATACCAGAGGTGGGAGGCAGGGGCAGGCCCTATTTAGCCACCTCTCTGAATATCCTCCAGGCCCCCAGTAGGGGTCAGTCACCAGAGGTCACCACAGCTTCCAGGCGCACGCATGCACACAGAAACACATGCACACAGGGGTCATTTCCTGCAGGAGCGCACAGGAGCAGAGCTCCGGCAGTAAAAAGCCCAGGGGGCGGGCACATGCAACAAGCCCCACCCCCTGCTCCCAGCAGCCTTCAGTCAGAGCAAGAAGCAGCCAGGTAAGTTGCAGAGCCGCCGCCCTCCCCCCGGTCCAAAACAGTCCAGTGGCACCTTTAAGTCCAAGTTTTATTCAGGTACAAGCTCTCCTTCCTCTGCGAGGACAGATCTGCACGTTCCTCCCCCCCACCAATAGCTAGCAATCCAAAACCGTCTGGTGGAGCCTGAGCAGTGGGTGTTGCCTTCTGACACACTTCCGGTGATGTCAGGGGGGTGGCATATGCAAATAAGCTATGCTAATGAGTTATGCTAATGAGCTCCTGCACCTCTTTTTCTACAAAATGACCCCTGCATGCACATATTTAAAAAGCTCATTGAGTCCCCCTTCCCACGTGTGCCAAGATGATGGAAAGGTCACATCCCTGCTCTGAGGAGCTTGGAACTCCAGACTACCTTAACTGACAACATCACTCTGATAGTTAAGAAGGCGTTCCCTGTGCAGCCAGACTAACCAAAGACAAAGCAAACTCAAGGCCATACTGCCATCAGCTGTGCCTCAGCTGGGTTAAGCCATCTCTGCTAACCTAAAACTGGAAATGACTAGCTGCCCCATTGACAGTATGCTCATTGGTTTTATTTATTTTTTTGGAAAAGTAACAATTTCATTAGAAATATATTACAACATTAGCTTATTCAGCTTACAACAATACTGTAACAAGAACCCGAAAAGTTGAAATAACATATTCCAAAAATTACAATATCAACAATACACTTTCTGAATTTAAACATTTAAATTATCATATCCTTAAATAAAGCAGGAAGTCGTCATAACCTTTCACTAACTGATGCAAACGCTAAAGCTGGAAACCAAATCGACTCAAAATCTGACAAACATGAGCCAATTTCATTTTTGGGCTACTTGAGAGGTCAATTTTTTCCATCAAGTAGAACCCAAACACTTTATTAAACCAACTTGAGATTGTAGGTGAGTTTGAATTTTCCCAAAACTTATCTATTACCATTCTTGCTGCAGCACATAGTATCGCTATTAATTCCTTTCTTTCTGGAGGAATTGTTGCAAGTTGCATTGGTTTTATCAGTGAAAAGGACATTACAATACAACTGAATAGCCCAGACTAGCCCGTGCTTATCAGAATTTGGAAGTTAAGCAGCCATGGTCAATACTTGGATGGAAGACCAGGTTGCTGTGCAGAGGACAACGGTGGCAAACCACCCCTGCTCATCTCTTGTCCTGAGACCACCATAAATTGGTTGCAACTTGATGGCACTTTTTTGTTATTGTTGTTAATTATAATAATAACAACAATAATAATTACAGGCAGGGCTCTTTTTGTAGAAAAAGCCCAGCAGGAACTCATTAGCATAATTGGCCACACCCAACAGCAGAAATTCATTAGCATATTAGGCCACACCCCTGACAGCACAGCTCATTAGCACATTAGGCTGCACCCCCATGTTACCAGAAGTGTGGTTATCCAGCCACACCCACCTTTTGCTTCTTATTCTGTTGACCTTGTTTGTGGTCAAAACCCAGGGCTTTTGTGTAGCAGGAACTCCTTTGCATGTTAGGCCACACATCCCTAATGTAGCCAATCCTAATGAGTTTCTGCTGTTGGGTGTGGCCTATTATGCTAATGAGTTCCTGCTGGGCGTGGCCAACTTGGGAGCCAGCCGGAACTCCGTTCCTGTGCGTTCCTGCCCAAAAATAGCCCTGAGGACATTACTTCTTCCTTTCAAAATATCCACTGTTTCATCCATTTTGTGTGTGTGTATGTGTATATTTCTGTGTGTTTGAGTAATATCTGGAGGAGGAGATACATTCCCGAGTAAGCATATAAATCCCACTGGAGCTATCTGCACAGGACATTGTACCTATTCATTTAGACATTTTATAGCTTGCCTTAATTAAACCAAAAGAAGGAGGGAAAAAAACATCCAGGTCAGGGCTGGTAATAGCTGTTTGCTATGTACACACGCTGTCACACAGTAATGGCTCCTTTGCTGCCCAAGGTTTACTATACACCTATTCAGTATGAGACCGCTTCATGTGTGTGTTTATGTGTGACAATAGATTTTATGTTTTTTAACTGATGATTATTAGCTGTTAGCCCATAGATGTGATATTAATCCTTGTAATAAATATTTTTAAAAGACTTCATTAGCACTCCTAACACAAAGGGTTTTTTTACTTAAAATAAAAACATGCTTAAAACATTAGCACTCTTGCAATATTTTGTTTATTTAACAGTGTCTGATAACTGACACCTCTTGCTCTGAATTATTGCATCAAGATGTCTGTGCTGTTGCAATCCTGAGTATGCTGTTCAGGTGTGTATCTGTAAGCTGCAAACCTATGATGACGCAGCAGCAGCAGAACTGGAAGAAGCAGCAGAAGACAGCCAGTCCCACCGTGGGCCTGATAGAAGCCCTCTGGGGGTCTGATCAGGTTCCCGGGCCACATGTTTGACACCCCTGCCTTAGACCATGGGGGGGGAGGAGAAGGATGGAGAGGAGAGGAGAGGGGACCCTGTACTTGTAGACAGTCTCCACTTTCACCCACTTCCATTCCTTTGGGTCTTACCAGCTTCACTTTTAATTAGCACCCAACTTTCCCTGCCAGCCCACCATTTCAGTTATTTATTACTGGAATCTTCTGTTTTGTTGTGCTGAGGCTGTGGTGAAGATGATCTGGCCTAAGGGCTATGGGAAGGGGCTGGCTCGTCCCCTTGCATAAGGGTTGGGATATGATCCTCGAACCCAGGGGTCATTTCCTGTGAGTATGCTGTTCAGGTGTGTATCTGTAAGCTGCAAACCTATGATGACGCAGCAGCAGCAGAACTGGAAGAAGCAGCAGAAGACAGCCAGTCCCACCGTGGGCCTGATAGAAGCCCTCTGGGGGTCTGATCAGGTTCCCGGGCCACATGTTTGACACCCCTGCCTTAGACCATGGGGGGGGAGGAGAAGGATGGAGAGGAGAGGAGAGGGGACCCTGTACTTGTAGACAGTCTCCACTTTCACCCACTTCCATTCCTTTGGGTCTTACCAGCTTCACTTTTAATTAGCACCCAACTTTCCCTGCCAGCCCACCAGGTGATGTCAGGGGGTGTGGCATATGCAAATAAGTTATGCTAATGAATTATGTTAATGAGCTCCTGCACCTCTTATTCTACGAAATGACTCCTGTTCGAACCATGTGGCAAAAGGGAATACTGTAACGATCCTGTTGGTCTCAGCGTAGTGGGAAGAAGGTCATGCTAGGACTTGAGAGGACCTAGGTTAAGCTCCTCTCCCAGTCTTGACGCCTACTGGGAGACCTTGAGTCTGCCATTCTTTCAGTCTAACCTCCCTCATGAGTCTGTTGTGAGGATAAAATGGAGGAAAGGTGAATCAAGTGTGCTTCCCTGAGCCCCTTGGAAGAAGAGGGAAGTAAAAATGGGATCCACTGATAGGCAGATTTGATAGCAGTGGGGTTTTTTCAGGGTTACTGACATGATTTCAGTGGACAATGAACTCACAGAGAAGTACCCATGCATATACAACCTCCAGTTTTCGGAACCTACATGCCACAGGCAATAAGTAAATCATCCTGGAGACACCATTGATGTATTGGTTAAAGTGCTAGACTAGGAGCTGGAAGGGCCAAGATGAAAAGCCTACCACCGTGGCCCGGCCCAAAAAGGTCTCATTTTTGTCAGATCCGGCCCTCATAACAAATGAGTTCGACACTCCTGATCTAAGTAAACAACTAGCAATAACACATCTACAGGCTAGATTCAGTCCTATCTAAGCTTTTTGTTATCATGCTTAATGGTAATCTCTGGAAGACTCCAATCATCCTATAAGCTCTGGCAACATATTTTCACCCTTATTTACAAATCTGGGGATACAGGAAAAGTGAGTGGCTATTATCACATGGACAGAGAGGCCTGAAGACAACAACATCTCTCTGAGAGGTGGACTGCTTGGAAGTGGCTACTGCAAAGGTAACAGTTATGTGCCCACACAGAAAAGCAGAGATGTGAGCCAGA